TACTGTGCTGATAAGAACAGCAGGGAGAAAAAGATGGAAGGAAATGAAGAAATCTACTGGTTTAAAAATTAGATTAACTACCAACTAGCGCATGGGCAGTTTTTGGTTTTGTTTTTTATTTACTCCCGTCTCCTCTGAGAGCCAGGGTCCGTGCCACTGGATCATTAAAATAAAAACTGAAGACGCACTAGCCACGAAGGCAAAAGAAGATCCAAAGATAGGCATTCATCCGTAGCAACTTAGATCTTCTGTATCCCCAAATAGGGGTGTCCCCTTCTCCCAGAGGGAAGCTATGCCAAAAACAAAATAAGAAAGAAAACTCAGAGGAAAGTTGGGGAGGGGGTTCACCCCACTTTGAGTCTGGATGTTAGGAGGAGCTTGGGAATCCTCGCTTTAAGGACAGCCAGCACAAACATAGTTTTAGGTTCCACAGAGATTTGCAAAACCCGATCTCTCACACACAGAAATGGGAGAATCCGAGCTGATAAATAACCCCCACCTCTTTCTTTCTCTCCACAAAGGAAAACAGATTGGGAGGCCTGGGTGACCACCCGTCTCAGCTCCTCAGGACCCCCAATCTTCCCATCCAACCTACATAAGTAGTCTGGCTGACCCCCAGGTTTGGGGCACCGGGCCAAGAGGTTGGGGGACGGGGGGGGCACATCTGATTGTTCAATGAAACATACATGAGCCCCGGGTTTGGGTGAGAAGCCGAATCAACAATGTCTGGAGCCCCCAGCACTCCAGTTCCAGCCCCCTACCCTCGCCGTCCCCAAATCACAGTCCATGGTAGCCGTCCTGGCTGGCTGGGGCCCTTGAAGGATCTGGCTGAGAGAGGGGGGAGGAAAGTCGGATGTGGGGGGGGTTCCTCCTCGGGGCCAGCCTTCAAAATAAGCGTCCCCCTTCTCCTCCTCGTCCCCAGCCGTGCCTTTGTCCTCACCGGCCGAGCGGGCGGCGCCCGGCTGCCCCCCCAACCCCAGTGCGAACGCGCGTGTCCGCCGCCCTCCCCTCCTCTCCGAGCAAAAACAAAGAGGCGGAGGGAGTCCCGTTTCCCCCCGTTTTGCGCCCCTCCGTGGGCCCCCAATACCTACCCTGTCGGGAAGACGCTGGAGCCGGGCCGCTGCTCTGGGGGCTGCCGCGGGCGGGGGCGGCCCGCCGGGGCGGA